TTTTTTTGCTCACCAAACACACTTTTAGAAGTTTTGTAATAATTGAATAGAAAATTATACATAATTAGAAAATAATTATTATAAAAATGAATATCTATATTCTCTTCCATAATTAATTGTACCGAAAGACTTCACACAATAGTATTAACTTCTTAAACAATATAACATCTCTGCTTCTTAAAGATTAAAATATCAATTTTATAAATAAAGGATCAATTATAAACATATTTGATCCTTTTCTATAAGAATACTCTTAAATGAGAATATATCATTATCAAAATTTTGTTTTTTGTGTATGCACTTAGTTAAAAATTTGATTCATAAAAAATGCTAGTCTTGAAATGGTAAGTGATAATACCAATTTTATATTTTCACTAATTGTTTGCTACATCATAATAATTTTTATCATAAAATTATATTTTATATAATTGTTTTCCTTTAAAAAATTTATTTCGGACAATACTACATTTATCTTTCACAAATTTGATTTTATAACATAATTAATGTTATCACATCATAACAAATAAATAGATGAATTGCTTTTTAAAAATAAAAATAAATATACTCAACTAATGTCACGAAGTAGTGAATTCTTTATTTCTACTAAATCTTTTAACGTAAAATTTTTCCAAAATATAAAATCATTATTAAATTTCTATTTTAAAATAAAAAGAAAGGTCAATTCATCATTAATAAAATTTGGCACATAAGCAACCAATAAAGACTTGTCATCTCACCTTAATATAGCCCACATAAGCTTGTCTTTTGGCGACGTTTTAGCAAACGGAGTGTCAAATATTATATTAAAGGATTATATTTTTTTAACTAAAAAGAAATTTTTATACAATCCTTTTTTAATTATGAAACATTATAAAGGCTTAAGTGAGATTGTAACAAAAAGCACCCTAGCTTGGATGGTTAGGAACTCAACTAAATGACCAAGAGATTCTTGTTTCAAACCACATGTCGCGCTTTAACTTTGCCAAATGTCACCACATCAGCTCGCCACATGTCGTGCTTTAGCTCTGCCAAATGTCACGTTCTTATAGCTCCGACTCTGCTTTATATATATAAAGGATTACTCGTCCTGAGTAGTGTAACCTGAATGTATATTTGAATAGTTATGAAATCTTTGCTCCAGCATTTTGATGATAGTACGTACTAGGGAGTAATAGTTTATTTCCTTGAAAACCATCATGCACGTTATGTCTTTTGACATCTAATTCAAGACATCCAAAGAAATTAATAACTTGGTATGAAACCAATAATAAAATTTAATATGGAAGAGACATTTTTTTATGAAAATGTTCTTTCATAATTCTATTTTTATTATTCATTTATAACAAAACTTTTAAATACTTCGGGAATTGAGAACCGATAATTGGTATTGAGAATTGGTTGGGAACCAGTCGGGAATCGGAACCAAACTGTACCACTGGTTGTCGGTGTGCCGGATGGCGGATACGGTATCCCCTCCTTTGGCACTGGGAATCAACGGTTCTAGAATTAGAATTGTACGAGTTCAGTACTGCGTCTACGTCTAATGGACACAAATTTATGTAAAACGGATTGTGATAAGGAAAATTAAGGTAGGGAGAAAGCGCGCGAGAAGATCTGTGAAAAGGAGATTTAGGTACTGAAAGTGCAAACTCTTTGTATTTTGATAAAACATTTTGTATTGACTGAATACTTTCATAAGCTAGAATGATTTTATCATTAAAAAAAAGCAAACACATTTTAATTTTAATGTTTTTCTAAATTATTTTTTTATCATGGCTAATCCATGTTTGTATATTTTGAATAATACGGGAGAAAATAATTATTCTTTTAATCAATGCCAGAGAGGTGTAGAGAATGAGAAGAATCATTTAAAGGATGAAAAAAGAAATATACCGAGTATTTTTCAGACATACGAAAACAATTTCTTATTCACGGGTTAAAATATTACGGGTTGAAAATGTATGACAATACTCGTATTAGTATGGATTGAAGTGTATTTGTATTAAGAATTAAGCTATGTGTACTTCAAAACTTGTATCCCAAACTATACACCATAGATATGCACTTTGATTTTGTGTTAGGGGGTGTTTGTTTTTCTCCCAGAAGACCTTCTGGCGTCTTTTGTCTGCGCCGCGCAGATGATGGGCTCTGCAGATTGTTTGTTTTTTGGAAGACATTTCACTCAAAAAGGTCTTCCTGACATCTTCTTGGAGAAGACATTAACCAATGTCTTCTAACATCTTCTCCTTTTTTCTACTTCTCTTCACCACCACAACTGTCCACCGCCACCGTCCACCACTACCACCGTCCACCATCACCGTCACCGTCCATCACCATCGTCGTCCACCACCACCGCCACCATCCACCGCCACCGCCACCACCGTCCACCACCGCCGCCGTCAACGTCCACCACTACCCTCCACCACCACCCTCCACCACCACCACAATCGTCCATACACCACCACCGTACACTAGCACCATTAATTTATATAGCAGTCTACAGACATTAAAAAAACAAACAGTCTTCTTCTTGCAGACCGCATATCTTCGGTCCACCACTTCTCCTGCAGATGTCTACAGTAGTGGTCCGCAGACCTTTTCCTGCAGAAAAAACAAACACCCCCTTAGTGTGATACTAGGATGATTGTTCACATAAACATAAAATATTAATATAAATTTTTTTGATCGCACTAACATATTATGTCAGCGTGAATAATCAAAATACCAGTGTATTGCTTTGGTGTATACTTTAGGGTACATTCTATCTTATTTCTAGCAATAATGAAAAGTGAAGGTTTTCTACTTTTCTTGATTTTATATAACCAAACAAGTCCTAATCTCCTGTCAAAATCTAATAGAAACTATCAATCTATCATTGAATGCGCCACACATACCATCCCCAGTTCCAAAATGGAGTTGCTCCGCTGCCCTTCATTCTCAGCCAACACCCCGAAACTCCCATCCAGATGCCCCAACATCGAAAAAATTGGATTTACTTTCAGGAATTTGCACTGTTACTTTTCCGAACTTAGAAGCAAGGCGAACCCTTTATTGGTCTCGGTCATTGGTGGCGGAGATGAGTCGGAAACTGCCGTGGTGGTGGAGAAACCATTGCCGTACGAATTTCGTCGCCCTTACGAGCTTTTGGCCGGCCATCCGACTCCATTCGGTGCCACTACTAGAGACGGCGGGATCAATTTCGCTATCTTTTCAAGCAATGCCACGTCAGCATCTCTGTGCTTGATCAGTCTCGCAGACCTGCCCCAGGCTAGTGTTTCTGAATGTTCTGCTGTATTTTTCAATTTATGTTTCGTTTGGAACTTGAAAAATGCACAGAAAAAAGTAGAATCACAGAAATGTAAAGCATGATAAACATATGTTCAAATTTAATTTAATAAATTAATTTTAAATATTTGTCCAAGCTCAATCTTAATAAATAGGATTTTACACATTTTACATAAATAACCTCCACCTAGAGAATTTGTTCATTTTTGATTTTTTACAATCAAAATTGATAAACTTTGACCATTAATTATATAAAATTTATATTAGATCTTTGATACAAAATTAATTCTATTAGATTTATCTTGTAAAATATTTTCAAAATAGAACCTTTGCCTCCTCTGAGTATTTGTACAGTTTTGACTATTTTCAATTAACCATTTTCAAGATTTGACCTATAATTAGATAAAATATATATTGTATATTAATTAGACAAAATAATATTTTGAAAATATTTTATATAAAAATCTAATAAAATTTTTTTGTATCAATATATAATACTCTCTCTGTCCTAAAACATTCTTCCCGTTTCTGTTTACGAGGTTTGACCGACTTTATAATCTATTCTATTTATTTGATTGTAGGTGTAAAATCAAAAAATAAAATTTATATATTTAAAAAGTACATCAAAAGTTCTACAAAACAAGAGGTGACGAAACTATATTATTTTATCAAATAACTAACGAAAATAGGTAAAGAAATGATTAAATTTTGACTGTGTAAATAGTAACTGGAAATAACGTTTTAGGACGGAGGGAATATATTTTTTATTTAATTTGAGATCAAAGTGTGCCAATTTTTACCAAAAAGTCAAAAGTGCACAAACTGTGGCACCCTTTGACCGCAATTTATGGAAAATATATATTTAGTTATAATGTAAATTTGGTAAAATTGGGTTTATTTTAAAATATAGTTTGGAATATCAAATTTTTTATAATATTTAGAGGGTGTTTGGCAGTGTGCTGCTTTTAATACTTTAGCTTCTGCTTTGAGTAGAAGTGATTTTACGCTGTTTGGCATGCCAGCTTCTGCTTTTCACCATCACTATTTTGTACATAGAACACCGTTTCGGAGAAGCAGGTATGAGATGCTTCTGCTTTCAGCTTTTGTAGAAATCACTTTATCCATAAGTTAATCAGTCCCAAACACCCTCTTAATTATTTTAAATTAAATTTAATTCGTGGTCAAAGGGTGTTACAATTTAACAAAAAAGTCTAACGGCGACAATCTTTTAGGGACCGGACGGAGGGAGTAATTTACTCCCTCCCTCCCTAAAACATTGCCACAGTTTGACAGTGGCACCCATTGACTGCGAATAATTGAAAAAGTATATTTAGTTATAATGTTAATTTAGTAAAATTGGGTTTATTTTAAAATATAGTTTTGAAATATCAGATTTTTATAATATTTAATTATTTTAAACCATATTTAATTTGTGGTCAAAGGATACCACAATTTGACCAAAAGTCAAACTGTGGCAATCTTTTAGGGACGGAAGGAGTATTTAGTTATTAGTCAAAACAGGGCAAATGAAGTTTCAGTCCTTCAATCATATGTAAAAAGTCAAAACACTTCCATTCTATTTTATGCCGTGGTCACTGAAGTTTGAGTCCTTCGATCATATGTTGTCTTCTTGCATACTTCTATCCACCGCCTCTACCTTAGACTCACTAGGCAAGTAAGGTAGGTAAAGAGGAGGAGGCTGCCCATAAACTACCTCATAGGGGTAATTTGAATGGATGTATGGTAATGGGTGTTGTACCACCATTCAGCAAGAGGAAACCACATACACTATTTTGAAGGTGTCTCCCCACACACACCTTAGATACTTTTCAAGCATCTATTGACCACTTCTGATTGGCCATCCGTTTGAGGATGATAAGCTGAAGACAAGAGAAGGTCAGTGCCTTGTAAGGAAAATAAGCCCTGCCTGAATTGGCTTAAGAAAATAGTTTTGGCTTAAGAAAATAGCATCTCTATCACTCACAATGCTCCCACTCTTCCAGGCCAACCATGCAACTTAAATACATTATCTAGATAAGCCTGAGCTACTTCCAAAGCTGTGAAGAGATGTTTGAGGGCCATGAAGTGAGCAAATATGCTCTCCCATAGATTTATGCAATCCAGTTATAAAATCCATTGAGATATCTAACCAAATTCCATTTGGAATTGGTAAGGGCTGTAATAAACCAGGGGAAGCAAAAGTCTCATGCTTAAAAGCTTGACAAACCGGGCAATGCCTCACAAAGTGTCTTATTGATTTTGCCATACATTTCCAGTAAAACAGAGTGATGGGCCGATACCTGACGGACAGCCCAAACCCTGTGCCCAAATGCATTCGGGTATCCGCACGAGTTGAAATCGGCCTTGAGCCGGCCCAAAGCCTCGGGCTTGAGCCAACCCGAATTAGAACGCTGTGGGGAATCCACCTCTGAGAGGAAGGACACAGCTAGGTTTCAGAAAAGGAGCCGAGGAAAGAGGATCGCACGAATCTCGGGATTAGTTCCCATAAATTGTAAACTACCATAATTACGTGAAGAGGCATGTATAAATAGAGGGGATCCGAACAGAAAACCTCAAGCTAAACTTAGCGTATAATTTCATAATTCTTGAGTTCCCGTTTCTTGATTATTCTTACGGTCCGCCTTTCAAGTCGGATTATTTTGTGGAATTCTTGTCCATCACAGAGATTTCACTCTTCTCAAAGTGCCATCTTTACCAGAAGGCCCTCCATTTGAGCTTGAGTGATGCCATGTGATGATTTTTGTCTTTAAGTGATCATCATGGCCTATGACTAGCTTTCCTTTTTTCTTGAGGAACTCATCTTGGAAGGTGAAGTTTGGCACCTGCTGGGATTGCTTGATAGCTTGAATGAGGTGTACCGAGTTTAGGTCCAGTTGATAGCTTTCTTGAATGACCTTCTGAAGTTCTGAGGATAGTACTGAAATTGCGATAGCTAACAATTCAGATCCTTGCATCGTGTACAAGCATCAGCAACTATATTTTCTTTTCCACTTTTATACACAATTTCATAGTCAAACCCAAGCAGCTTAGATAACCAAAATTGTTGGAAAGGTGTGGAAATTTTCTGCTGGAGAAGCCATTTAAGATTCTTTTGATCTGTTCTGATAATGAAGTGGTTGTTGAGCAGATATTCTTCCCACTTTTGGACTGCAAGTCTGCAAATACAATGGCTAACAGTTCCTTCTCATATACTGAAAGCTTTTGCCACCTTGGTCCCAAAGACCTGCTAATGAATGCCAAAGGATGCTGGTTTTGTATAAGCACTGCACCAATACCCTCCTTAGAAGCATCTGTCTCAATCTCAAACAAAAGAAGGGAAAAGTCAAGATTGTTGGCTTGGCTTTGGTGGCATAAAGCTGGCAACTTTTTTGAGGTGGCTAATAAGAGATAAAGTAAAACTCAAATGGGAGTGTCCTTCCTCTTGGTATGGCGGCGAAGATTGCCTATATAAGGAGCTTTGCTCCTTGGTTTATTTGAAGTATCACACAAATAGTTTTCCTTTATTATTTTAGAGGTTTAGAGATGTTCTTTTGGAGATCTCTTGGGAAATAGTATGTTAGGAAGTGAGTGTGTGATGAGGAAAAATATTGTGTATTGTATGATGCAATAAATTCCATATAGTGAAAATTTTTTCTGGAGGATTTTCTCCAATTGGGGAGTTTTCCCTCGTTATATCTTTGTGTTGTTATTCTCTTCAAATTTCTTTATTTTGAATGCTTGAAGGCGGTCTGCGCGGGAAAATTGTCTCTTTTTCCCCAACAATAAGGGCTAGTTTGCGATTATTGAAAGCTTCCTGGCATGTTTTGTCCAAGCAAATGCTCATTTCTTCCATAAATCAGTTAAAGGTTTACTCTTCATAGCATACCCCTTGATAAACATTCCGTAATATCCAGCCAAACCCAAGAAACTCTTAAGCTCCTTTGCTGAAGTAGGAACTGGCCAGCTAGCAACATCATTAATCTTGCTAGGATCTGATTCCACCCCCTTAGCTGAGATGAAGTGGCCAAAATATTCCACTTTCTGGCTTACAAATGTGCATTTGCTAAGCTTGGCATACATTTTGTTAATCTTCATCAAGTGGCCTAAATATTCCACTTTCTGGCTTACAAATGTGCATTTAATAAGCTTGGCATACATTTTGTTAGTCTTCATCAAGTCAAAGACCTGCCTTAAGTGAATCCAGCGATCTGCTTTATTCCTGCTTTATTTGAGAATATCATCAAAGAAGACCAAGACAGATTTCCTCAGAAATGGTTTGGAGACCTCATTCATCCACCCTTGAAAGGAAGCAGGTGTATTTTACAACAACAACAACAACAACCCAGTTGAATCCCACAACAGTAGGGTCTGGGGAGGGTGTGTGTACGCAGACCTTGCCCTTACTCGGAAGTAGGGAGGCTGTTTCCAAGAGACCCCCGGCTCCACCTGCACAAAAATATGGAAGAGAACACAGTATAGCACAGATAAGACACCAAGTACAAGCAACAAGTACAAACAATAGCAAAAGATTCCCAACAAATACAACACACTACAAAACAACCTCTACAACACCGAGCTCCTATCCAGCTACTCTAATCCTAGTTCTCCAAAGGTTCCTATCTAGGGCCATATCCTCAGTCACGTCGAGAAGTCCTAAATCCTGTCTTATCACCTCCTCCCAATTCTTCTTAGGTCTACCCCTTCCCCTACTTCCCCCGATAACTGTAATCCTCTCGCATCTCCGTACAGGGGCGTCAGCATCCCGCCGTCTCACATGGCCAAGCCACCTCAACCTCGCTTCCCGCAACTTGTCTTCCACCGGTGCCATACCTACTTGACGTCGGATAACCTCATTCGAAATCCTATCCAACCTTGTCTTCCCGCACATCCATCGTAACATCCGCATCTCCGCCGCATGCAGACGACGCACATGAGTCTTCTTAACCGCCCAACACTCTGCCCCATATAACATAGCAGNGTCGAGAAGTCCTAAATCCTGTCTTATCACCTCCTCCCAATTCTTCTTAGGTCTACCCCTTCCCCTACTTCCCCCGATAACTGTAATCCTCTCGCATCTCCGTACAGGGGCGTCAGCATCCCGCCGTCTCACATGGCCAAGCCACCTCAACCTCGCTTCCCGCAACTTGTCTTCCACCGGTGCCATACCTACTTGACGTCGGATAACCTCATTCGAAATCCTATCCAACCTTGTCTTCCCGCACATCCATCGTAACATCCGCATCTCCGCCCATGCAGACGACGCACATGAGTCTTCTTAACCGCCCAACACTCGGAAGCAGGTGTATTTTGTTAAACCAAAAGGAAACTGCCACTGCTTGTATAGGCATTGGTTCAATCTCGCAAGTCGCATCCCAATGTCTTCGCAAGTATCTAAATCCAGAAAGTATCAATCAGAATATGAATTGCTTTCTTCCCAACCAAACCTATCATTCTCATAGTTTGGTAGCTATGGCCCTGTTCAGTGTTTGCACATAAATACAAGCATCGGGATTCTCACCCTTAGAAGTGGTAGCCAGATCACTGTCCAAGTAAGCATCCTTGCTCACCTCATATTCATCCTGGAATGTCCATTCAGCAGGTACTTCCAGAGTAAACAACTGAGGCTCTTTAAAGCTGCATTTATGGCCTCTTTCAAAGGGCTTGTCATGATAGTAACACAAGCCTTTAGCTATCTTGTCAGCTCTAACATCAGCTGGTATGTATCTATAGTTCTTATTTGAAGAATTGTGTCCAGAAGAACTAAGCTTCTGTACATTTGAAGGTTTTGAAGTTGGGGTGGGAAGGAGAGGGGGTTTGGCAGAATTACTTAAATAAGTTTTTTCTCCTTGTGTCAATGGCTTGTTAGAGTAGTAAGTGTTAAAATTCCGATGGGCCGAGAACAACAGGTAGAGTGTCAGGTAAAATTAACCACTTGTCCACTTGTATATAAATTCAGGATCCACTATTCTAACCCAAAACTTAAGCTAATAACTAGGGCTTCACTCTTCTATATATGCAAGTGGTATTCTTCTTTATTTTCCGATGTGGGAACTCCAACTCTCCCCCTCAAGTGGTAACTAGCCTGACCTAGTTCGCACTTGGACAAACGGGTCTAGCATCTCAATCTCTTATAGCTAGCCCACACAATAAAGAGTCCAAAACGTAAGAATATGGCAAATAGTGGTGACATATTTCAATTCTTCAAAGTCATCATTATATGACTCCAATGACCCTTTCTGTTCTAGTTTCTTGAACTGTTCTACCACATTGTCTCCTTTTTCATCCTAAAATCTGTCAGTTATATCAATAATGAACTCTTGCCAAGACACATATTTCCTATACGACAAGTAGCTAGTGACCCAAATCTCAGCCTTATCAATCACATCCAAGCTAGCAATGTCTACCCACTGGTCTTCAGGAATTTTATAGAGTGTGAAGTACTTATAAGCCTTTTTGATTGAGATTCTTGTGTTGCTACCGTCAAATTTGGGGAACTCCTGCTTAGGGTTGAAACTGAGATTTCTTCCATGTGATTGGCTTCCATCTCCACTCGTTGAAGCACTGTGACCCTTTTCCTTAGTTGCATTAGCTTCCATATTCTTCAAGATCATCATTATATGATCCAATTTCTTATCCTGCTTATTGATCTGTTCATTAACACGCATAAACCTTCCTTTGAAAACCTTCAATTGAGCTTCCATAGTTGATTTCAATCAACGTCTTCGTATATGATGATGATCAGATCGAGTTCAGCCCTGAATCGTGCTTTGATACGAATGATATAATCAAAATCAGAATCTTGATTATCAACAATGGAAGATGAGAGAATTGTTACCGAGAGATAAATAGAAATGAGGGGAAAGAGACGAAGAAGAATAGAGAGAAAATTTTGATTGTTTTCTTATTATGAGCTTCTTGTACAAGACCATTACTTTTATACAAGTGAATAGTGCTTTGCCTCACATCTAACAACCAAACTAACTTCTCTAACCAACTAACTACCATTGCCACATCAGTTGGCTATAACAAATATATAACAGATCGTATTAGAGCATCGACCCCCTGTGTTAGTGTCGTTGTCGATGGAAGATCATCCCTTGTTTATTACTAAGGGGCTGATCATTGAACTCCACCAGGACAACAAAGAGACGAATCATGTAATGCACCATCATTATGATTAATTACTACGAAGTAATTTGCTATGGATGTAGTGTAAAGACACTGTTTACAATTTGAGGACAAAGAAGTCCTAAATGTCTAGAGTGCATATCTCTATGCGTAGTGTACAATTTATTTTGACGGGAAAAGTGCATTTTAACAAAGGGTACAAAACCTTATTTCTTATGTGTGTGTGTGTATAAGGTGCAAATCAGGTGAGAATGCTCTTAACGTGACAAATGAGAATGGTGCATGTTTCGTCCATCACGATGCACATTTACACTATGACACTGTATTTTTGCAGTGGCATAAAAGTTTGACTTATTTACTAAAATGCCACATTGCCACAACATTTTTCTGGATTTTTACTTATTTTTCTAATTTTTATGGCCTTTAGATATTACACTCTAATGCACTACATGTGTTCTCATTTCTCTCATTAGATCTCATTCTCATTAGATCCAAAACATACACACACACTCACACTCATCCCTACTTATTTGATCACATATATATATATATATATATATATATATATATATATATATATATATATCCCTACTTATATATATATGTGTGTGTGTGTGTGTGTACACATAAATATAATCCCATCCGTCCCATTAGTAATGGTTGTAATGTCAAACATTCCAAATCGGGCGTCCCTAAAGTAATGTAATACTTTCTTTTTTTAACATAACCTACCGTGCCTTTTTAATCACTTGACAATCCCTCTTATTCCAACATACTCCTCTATACCTTTTTCATTCACTCTTACACTTTTTCTTCTACATCAACCATATCATATCAAATTTTCCTTAATCTCCTTGTTTTCCATTTTTGACTATACTTATAGGATGGATGAAGTGTATATAAATTTAAATAAATAAATGATATACATACATACATACATACATATATATATAAATGTGTATATATATATATATATATATATGAGATTGACTCCGGTGAGATGACACCTTGTGGTAAGATGACATGTTTCAGTGAGATGACGCTAGAGCTCACCACTGATCACTGCAAAGCTCACCACTGATCACTTCAAAACTCACCACTGTCCACTGCAAAGCTCACCATGATTTTCCAACACTTTACTTTTTTTTCTCAAAATTTGATGGTTAAATGCTCACAAAGCCCATCAACAAAGCTCACTGACTCGCATTGCAAAGCTCACCAAATATGTGCACAAAGCTCACCACACTTTAAAGTTTAAAATGACTTCGAAAAAAAACAAAGGGCGGTGGTGCTGCCTTCCAACCGCTGCAGACTACCGCCGTGGACCGGTGATTGACTGGTGTGCAATTTTATTAGTTTTTTTTTTAAAAAAGTGGTGAGCTTTGCATTGTTCCTTGGTGAGCTTTCCATTGTCAGTTGATGAGCTTTGCATTGACAGTTGGTGAACTTTACACTTTGACCGTCCATGACCAATGGCCACCACCGATGACCCCCACGGTCGTCGTGGACCGGTGGTTGAGCGGTGGTTGATTGGTTGTTGAATGGTAGTGCTATTTTTTTTATTTTTTTATTTTAAAAAAAGTGGTGAGCTTTGCATTGTTCCTTGGTGAGCTTTCCATTGGCAGTAGGTGAGCTTTGTAGTGTCATCTGATTGAAGCATGTCATCTTACCATAAGGTATTATCTCACTGGAGTCAATCCATATATACACACACACACACACACACACACACACACACACACACACATAATATAGATTGACTCCAGTGAGATGACACCTTACGGTGAGATGACATGCTTCGGCCAGATGACGCAAAGCTCACCACATTACCACCGCCGCCGGCCGCTGCCACCGCCGACCACCACTACTGGCCGCCGCCGGTCTCCGCCGCGTTGCCGCTGCTGACCGGTGGTTGAGCGGTGTTGCTATTTTATTTTTAATTATTTTTTTAATTTTCAAAATTAAAAAAAGGTGAGTTTTGGTGTTCAAAGTGGTGAGCTTTGCTTTATTTCCAGGTGAGCTTTACATTGGTCATTGGTGAGCTTTGCAGTGGCCAGTGGTGAGCTTTACGTCATCTTACCGAAACATGTCATCTCACCGTAAGGTGTCATCTCACTGGAGTCAATCCCATATTATATATATATATATATATATATATATATATATATATATATATATATATATATATAAACAAGCTTCGTCTTAGAAACAAACCCTACTTTCGAGTAGGGGCAAAGTGTGCGTACACACACCCTCTCTAGAGTCCAGACCCTACCCTCGTCAGATTCAACTGGATTGTTGTTGTTGTATATAAGCAAGCTTCCTCTACCGAGTGGATGGAAGACCAACATAGGGCTCCTCACCGGGTTTGATCCCCAAAGCAAGCAAGGGGAAAGGACTAATTAAGAGGCTTTGTCAGAGAATAGTTTGTGATTTAAAAATGAAAGGTTTAAGTTGGCTTATTGAGGTTAACATGCCTTGGCTCCAGGGTTAAAGTGGGCTGTAGTTAGGGACATACTAGGTGTGTTTGGTTGGTTTTTTTAAGGATAAAATGATACTTTTCTTCAAGGAAAGGATACAACTTTTGAGCAAAGGAAATCAAGGAATGCAGATTTTACTGTATGGAATATAACTTGATTTAAGCAAGAGGAGTCAAAGTTGCAAGAACAGAATAAATCTTGCCATTGGATTTGCATGAAGCTTTGATATACTTCAAATTAGTAGACTTGTGTTTCAAATTATGTTTCGTTCTTGATCTATTTCTGTCGTAACAATTGCTTGTTTATATGTGCAGGGGAAAGTGACAGAGGAGATTCCTTTAGATCCCACTGTCAACAAAACTGGCGATGTCTGGCATGTATTCCTTAAGGGAAACTTTGATAACATGCTCTATGCCTACAGCCTTGATGGCAAGTTCGCTCCTGAAGAAGGGCATTACTTTGATTCCACCAAGATACTTTTAGATCCTTATGCAAAGGTAATGGTTTCATAACCGTCTAAACCCTAATACCGAAAATATTCTTTGCATAGATGATTTTTTTGATATATTGGTGTTTAGAAAAACATAATCTCTTTGCTTCTTAATCCTAAACAGGCTATTGTAAGCAGAGAAGAGTTTGGTGCTTTGGGACCAGAGAAGGATTGCTGGCCCCCAATGGCTTGCATGCTACCTTCTACTCATAAGGTGTTGTGATCGAGTATGTGTGATTGAATGTGTTGCATGTAATATTGGTAGAATAAATTAGCATGT